TTGAGTGAAAACCTTGGCCCAGCATAGGCAGGGAGGCACGTACCATTTGCAGGAGGGTCGGTCGTTTGTTGATCGTCTCGTAGTTGCGCATGCACGCACGCCGTTTTGAGTACATCTGGACAACGGGATGCGACGCAAACACCCCCGCACCCGACTTTGACTCCGCTTCGTCTCCTAAGAGGTCACCTAGTCCTCCCTCTTTGTCGCTATCGACATTTTGACGGGAGTGCTTCCTTTTGCCATTGGCACGCCGTTGTCGACGCTTTTTGGGTATTCGATTCTTTCTGTCCTCTGCAAATTAAGCCAGAAAAATACGTAGTACTCAAGTGTTGCAAGTAGCCATTTAATCAGGAAGGTGGTAGACGCACGTTCATTGAGGTTGGGTTTGTTGGACGGCTTTGGTTGAACCGATTCATCACCGAGGCTTGTGTTTTTTGGCTGGACAGACTGCAGACGTGACAGAAGGCTCACCTTGGGCGGTTCAACGGGAGACTGCTGAAAGCAATTAAGCGATACAGGAAGACAACACACACACACACACGATGCTCAATCTACGAGTAACCCATTAGCTGAAACCAACAAGCGAGAAACGCTTGCTATGCGTGAAAAAAAGAAAAAAATCCAAGCAGGGATTCGATCGCTGACACTCATAGCCGTGGCGTTTATATCAAAAGAAATGAATGGTGCAAGACGCGATGTCCAACAGGTGTAAGTTGCATAGTTCTCAAGTGGGCTGTGGATCGTGTCTATTCACACCCCATATCTTCACACCCAGGTCTCGATGTTAGCGCATACACGACTCACACATCCGAGGTGTAAATACACACGCGCAAACCACACATTACACGGCGACACCAATGTGGTTGAGCTCTGAAGTAAACGGTTGTGTCCACGTCCTCGCCGATCTTTTTCTTCACCGCGGGTAACAAGGAAACGTAATCGGGCCAGGGTTAATTCCGTGGCCCCGGCGTGGTTCACGACCACATGCTGGGACCCACAACGGGCCACTCACCTGTTGTATCGTTTCCTCGTCTAACTGTTCGGACCAACTCAGGTCGCTGTCGTAGTCAACGACGAGGTTGCCGACCGGCGGAGGCTCAGCTGCTGACTCCAGCCCATCCGCCTTTTCCTCTGCTGCCTCTGAGTCACCTCGAGGACACGGGGTTTGCTCCACCACCAAGGCAACCTCGTCTGATGCCGCGGTCGTCGCAGGCTGTCGTTAAAAGGGGAAAGTGCAGGCTTCACATGACACGTAATTTTTTTGCGAAAAACGCATTTTAGGACACACGTGATCCCTCACACGAATCACTAAATCGCCATCTATAAAACCGTGCAACATTTCTCACCAGATCACCGTGTTGTACAGACGGCGGCGGAGACTGTGGGGTGTGTGCTTCGTCCTAAAAACAGTGGATAAACGATGTAAAAGTCGCATTGTCTGCAGCGGAACTTAGTGAACCCGCGGGCAAAATTACCGGCCGTTTGGACGCCACTGTCTCCGGGGAAGAGGATTTTCTTCGTCTTCTTTGTTTGTTACCTTGGCCGACAGGTGGCCGCAACTCCTGCGGTTTGCGGGCGTTGAGCGAGCTACAAGGAAAAGGCAGATCAAGCAAACATCCCGTTGCTTTTTTAAACAAAGAAACTATAAAAACCAGGGACTCACCCAAACTGGCGCGTCACCAGGACCTGTCCCCGATCGATCCGGTAACCGACCTCACGAATTTTTGCCTGAACGCGTTCAAATGTTGGATAATTTCTACAACACACACTAGCATTTACCTATGGAATTTAAGGCATAATTCCACACCCGGATAAAATTGGAAAAAGACTAAGAACTAGAGTCTGAACACCAACTTTTAGCCCTTAAATTGTCTACTTGTGGCCGAATGTCTTTAAAAATCCCAGGAATTTGAGGTAATCTCTCGACAATCAAAAGCCTTATTCCTTGCATCACTTAATGGTGTTATGCGTGTTGACGCGGTGGTGATCTTACTTTCGTCGTGATTCTATCCAGTGCGTGAGCGACTTGTCCCCCTCGAGGGCTGGTCGCAGGCGGGCGTACAAGTCCTCTTTGGCGTGGACCGTCTCGATGTGGAATTTGAGGATACTCGGGTGGAGAACAAGACTGCAGCCCGCTTCAGTGCAGGGCACGTGCTCTGCCCGATGACGGTCGTATTCCTCCTCAGTGAAGAAGTGCTGATCACAGCAGGTTTTGAGGGGGTTCGAGAATTCCGGGTTGACGATGCCGAACGACACCCCACAAATCCCGTCGCTGTAGTAGGTGTCAATGGGACGTTGGCGATTCTGCAATACACACACACACACACACACACACGTGTACCCCAGTTGATTAGTAGTCTCAAAAAAAGCGAAGAAGGCAGACAAGTTTGATTTATAGTTCACCTTTTGTCTGGCACCGCGTGAATTTCTCGAGGTATCGAGACGAAGACTCTGCTCCAGTTTTTCAAGTGTACTACTGGCCTCCCAAAGACTTGAGAAGTCGGGAAGTTCCATGTTGGGAAAAGACACACCGTAGGGTTTGGAGGTAAAGACTAAAAAATGTAAGTGAGACGCTAACATTGCACTTTCGAAATTTACTCAATGCTTCGAGATTGAAGATGCCCAGATTAGGACAATACAGCAAGAGAAAACCACCACCGAAGTGGATGAAAAGATTGAAAAACCTCGAGTCACATTACTCGAGGTTAATAAGTACTTAGACGACGACCCAAATACTGGGTTGTGTAATTTAAAATGAACCACCTGCTAACTGATTGCCACGAACAGAGAACAATAAGAATGCTCAACTGAGAATGATCACAATCAGGCCGTGGTAGAGAAAAACAGACATATTGTTGCAAAAGTATCCAAAAAATTAAAAAAAACTGAGGTTGATGGCGACACAACCGAATACGCTATTGGCGAATAAAAGATTTCAATTGGTTGAGATAGTAGCAATAAGTTGAGGGGTAGGCGCATTAAAGTTAAGGAGTCAGCACGATAATAGATCTAAATGGGGAGAAAATTTGTGGGGAGCTTAAATGTGACAAGAATTGTAAAGAGACACTACAACATACGCAAACATAATGCCATATTATAATGAAATTAAGGGCACAATTACCACCTCCTTCAAAAGATGTTTTCGCGATTTCATTAGGCTCGATGTGTTGTTTCATGAGTCGGATTGCTAAATGACCGATTGTGATAACCATGATTGACGTTTGAAGATTCAACAAAGAAGTGATATTGACATAGTAGGCTTTGACGAATCAGAAAACTATGTCAAATTATTCACAAAAGAGGTGTTACATACGCACACCCGTTGGGATAAAAATGAGATCTAACCGCGTAATATAAGTTAAAGGCCGTTCCTTCACTGCGTTTAGCACGCCTACTTTAAAAAACAGCATCAATGCAGTTGAATGTATTGAAGTGTGTAAATAACTGGTATCTGAGAGTGGCTTTGAATAATAACTCTTAAGTTTAACGTTAAAGGCTTGCCTTATCTAGTTGCGTGTACTTTCACGCACTTCGTTTGCGTAAATGAGAGGCTAAATCAGTGAATTTGGGGGCCAATATTATGTCCATTGGTAAAATTCGAGATTACAGCAGCTAGACTAGTGAAAGTGCTTAATTACACGGACTAAAATTAAGAATTTATGGGACAGAATTCTCCCCAATTTTTTACGTAAACTTTAGTAAGTGAAACGAACGAACAGCGGCCTTGACGTATTTCTAGATGTTCCTGTATTTTGGAGGTTAGAACACACTCCATTCTATTTATATTTATTTCCCTACTACCTATTAACCTTACAATATTCTGCGCTTGACATTAAATATGCAAGTCGTTTTGTTAGATATTCCTACATTGGGTTGCCATATTTTACGCGACTTAAATTAATCCGCACAAGAGTGAGTAAGAAAGCAAATTTTACCGTATAAGTGGGGCATTAGGCTACGAAAGCAAAACAAACGTAACACTTCCCCTGGGTACAAAACTATTTTACTTAAGTACATGATGCTTGAATTCTCGAGAGAGGATTCTGTCAAAATGTTTCTTGCCGCCGAAAAAAAACAATACCAGCTGAAACGCAATGAGACATTAAATAAAGCTATTGCAATTTTTTAGATTTTGAGGAAAGTAAAACGCACTATTAAACGAACATTACCACAGGCCAGAATAATAACGATACAAAATCAAACCGTATCAAAAATAGGAATTACATAAGTTACTAACAGTTAAGAGAACTATGGATTATAGTAAATACTTATAGGTAGAACTAATAACAACACAAATTTTTATACAACAAAAATTCACTTTAAGTTTTTGAACAAAATACCCTGCAATATCAAGAATGGGCACCCACCCCGCAAACTGACGCAAGCGCAATTTAAAAATACGGCCTTGAGATAATTAAATAGAAAGCATAAATGCACTCGTTTGTACAAAAAAATAAACAGTTTTTTTAAAAAAAGCCTGTTTGTTAGGATAGCCTGCCTTAAAAATACCAAGTATTTAAAAATGTTTTTCAAAAACTAGCAAAAAATATGTCGTCAATGAAATGATGATTTAGAAAGTGATGAAGCGAAATGCTTGTTAAAAACATTAAAGCACGTTTTAGCGCTGCGACGGATTTGCATTCTATCGCACCTATGGTTTTAACGTTTTTTAGAACCACTTCATTTAAAATTTTTGAAACACAAATTGTTCTTAAATTTTAAGGGACCGTGAAAATCACATTTGATTTACAATGATGTCATGACATTCGATTATGCTGCTATTTTATTTTTTTTTGAACTTAGTAAACAATTCCTTAGAGGTTGCAGCGCAGCATTTCTTGACAAAATAAGTGTTTTTTTTCGTTGTATATTTGTCTGCAAAATGTGACTAGTTCAACAAATATGTTTTTTTTAACGAATTTGAACTTAGGAATCAATCGTATTAATTGGTGGTGTCCGATGTTTTCAAATTGCACTACATGCATTTACCTAATTCCTTTCTCGCAAACATGTTCTTGATCAACTCGTTTGTTAATTTGCGGGTTATTGTCACGAAAAATGCCCTGCTATTATTACCTCTTCATGAATTTAGAAAAGGTGCAACTTTTGAATGCACTACATTTAAATGCTTTGTTTTAGTTTCCAATATTTATGAAAGCTTATGTGAATTTGGAAAACCAGTTAACGTCTTATAGTATAATACTGCGCATTCCTTAAATGTTGCGCAGATTTTGGTGCGAATGAATTTGTTCATGATAGAATAAATATTTTGATGTATATCTGATTATTTGCAACTATTCGCAGCTTGTTGCTTCTTTCTAAATCCAGTGAATGAAACTAGAGATAAATGAAATAAGGGTGTCTCGTAGGTTTACATTTAAACGCGTTGGAATTTTGATTTCAGCTGTGCTGTTCTAAATATGGAATACACATTTCTAAAATATTTTAATTTTTCAGTACAAGCACATTCCCCATGTTTGGAGAACGCGCCTGGTTTATAACCTGTCTACGGATAAAAAAGGAATTTTTTTTGTTAACCACGCATCACCAATTTTTTAAACCTTTTTGAAGATATTTGATAGAAATAAAATATGAGATGCTTTAGCATTTCTAATTGATTAGATTGCATGCAAATAATATTGTTTATAACATTAAATTTAATATGTGGTGGTGTGCAAATCAAATCCAAACGCCGGTGATATCTAGGACGTGAGATCGCAGGTGCAAAATATTGAAATGTGCCACTTGTCAGTGGTATTAATTTTGATGACATGTTATGCTTTCGTTAGAGCTGTGAAAGTCCCTCTTTGTAAATCGTTTTAATATGCAGCACATACCCGAAATCTAAATCATAATCAAGATTAACATATTTACCCTCATTCGTAGCCTTGAGGGTTTTCAAAAACTACTAAGTGTTCCTCCAAGTGACTTTAATTCCAATAAATTCATTGATAAGAATCAGTTAAATCATTTAGAGCTAGCCACAGACTAATACTAATTGACTGTATCAAATATCATGCTGTGGATTTATACATCAGAGACGTTGCCCTATTCAACAAGTGGATTGTTGAATTTTGGTGTTTATTGTCCATACTGGATCTTGTACCCTTGTAGTAATTCGCATTGATTCACGTCTGTTAATCGAGTTACTGCAGTCTGCAACACACTAATATATCATATTATCTAAATTTGTATCAGTTTGACATCAGAAATCTTCTCACTACCATTTAATTATGCTGATGAAATCAATTCCCGACATCAGCGTTTTCTCCATAATTTAATTGCAATTATAGGGCTAATTTACGCGTGCACTAAAGGCATTTACTGTCAAGCGCACTTTTTCGAAACCAAAAGTACAAAAATTGGTCTGAATATGGCTAAAGAAAAATTTGGTGTACTTTCAACTGGTTTGCCTTAGCGACTATCTGAGGGGGGTTGTCCATGCGACAACCAAGCCTCCACATGATGCTGATAGGCTTCTGAATATCCAGAGGGGGAGCAGGATAAATTAACGCACACCTCGAGGAGCAGTTTGTGCCACCAAAATACACATGCGTGATCTTGTGTGCTTCTGCAACACCGAAATCGATCATAAACAGTCGCGGCTTTCCACGTAGTTGGGGTCTAACTTCTTAAAATGTAATTAACTTTGAATTCCTCGCACAACTCGACAGAGCAATGCGCCATTTTTTTGAGACGTGCTTGATGGCCATCAGCTAGTGAAGGCAGAAATTGATACAGCCTACAAAAGATTTTCTGAATTATGGCTGACGGATTTTGGTGAATTTGGACTCCTTTAATGTCAGAACTGGTGGCACTCGAGGAGTAGGCAACTCCTGAATGTATTCCAGATCAGGCTTTGTGGAGCTTAATGGGAGATCATGTGTACGGCTCCCCAACAAATCATTTTTATTTTTTGAGGTTGAGACAGCGAATGTGATTTCATACGCATTTTGATGCCACTTATCACACTTTGAAAAAATAAATCTGGACAGACGCATTTTACTGATGAATCACAGAAAAGCTTTCAAACAGTTTTACAGAACAGACGAAAATT